GGCTAATTTCTTTCTATTTATAGTAGGGACGGGGTCTCGCTCTTGCTCAGGCTGGTCTCAAACTCCTGATCTCAAGCAATCCTCCTGCCTCGGCCTCCCGGAGTGCTAGGATTACAGGCATGAGCCACCACACCTGGCCTGTTTTCAGGTTTTTATTGTTACCTATAGACTGGACTGGATCCTGACTTCTTCTAGTTTCCTCCAAAATCTGGGTACAATTCTCCAACTAAGAACAAGAACTACTCTGTTCCTAAAGCTGAAGCTAGACAACTCGATGTAAATTTCAAGGGATAAGTCTCATGCCTAATGCATGCATCGCAGAGAGTTTACCAAAACACCCAATGCCATAATCAGAGACATTTTAACTGCAAACCAGAACAAGAAGTTGGTGACTTCATCATGTGGAAAACATTGGAATAAGACTCCGTATCATAATGAGACTCTTACCCCTCTTAGTTTGTCCTTGCTCATGCCTACCTTTTTTGCCTGGCAAGATAATGTTGTAGGTAGAATCTCATAATCAGTAGCTTTTGCCAGTAACTTTACAAAGTGTTGGATTTGTCATGCCAAACACAGATCTTATGTAACCAAAGAGACAGTAATACTAAAGTGGATAACTTTAGCAATATCCCTAGGGCAGCTGTTGTTTAAATTGTACTAGCAGTCCCTTTTATAGAGTCAGACTTCTAAACCTACTTGTTCTCATGGTCATGGGATACTAGATAATAGAATTGCTACCTATACTAGCTGAACAGGGAGGTGTCTGTACAGTTGCCAACACTTCTTGTTCACAGGGATAAACACATCTGATATTGTAGAGAATTAGTTGCAAAGAATTAAGGAAGAGGCTATTTGGTTAAAATGGGTAGATTTCCTTCTGGCTCATTCATTGATCTATTTGATTTTAGTTGGTTTGAGTCTTGGGGACCCTAGCTAAGGAGCATATTCCAAACTCTTGGTATTATACTCCAGAGTCATAATAGTAGTCTCCCTGATACACTGTATCCTCTCAAAAAATCTTAAATGTCGACATGCAGCCATCTGCTAAACACTAACCAGTCTCTTTCTGGCTGGAATGATGAAAATTCCAAGAAACACATGATCACAATTTACTGTAACCTATGTTACACGTTGAGACCAAAAACCCAAAATGATGTTGACTGAGAGTGGCCCTGTTGCCCTAAGTTTTGGTCACATTCACCTTGGTGAAAGCTTAACCCAAAGGGGGAACTGTTAAATAAAATTTATAGGAGGCCATTGGTTTGGAGTTAGTTCTTGCTTTAGGCCCAACAGACCAAACTGAAATGGAGTTAGTTGCTCATGCTGAAGTTCCATGCCATTAAGCCAAAGCTAAGCGATCTGACTTAAAGAGAAATCAGGAGAGAGAGGTAATAGTCAAATCTCCAAACAAGCCAGTTTTAGTGGGCATGCTTTAACCTATAGAAGGAAAGTAACTTTGAAATGAACAATCTGCTTTGTGTTGTTTCTGCTTTCTTCAGCTTCTTCTGTCTATAAAGCCAAACTCCTCTGCTCATTTCATAGGAATAGTCATTTCATTTTATAGAATGAGGTATTGCTGGATTCTAGAATTGCAAATCAAAGCCAACTAACATCTTTAAACTAACCTTGTTGTAATTTTGTCTTTTGACACCCAATTCTCCCACACTAGATTATAAACTCCTTGAGATAAAGGACTGTTTCTTACATTGTTGGTGCTTAATTAGTACTGAATACATCAATGGAGCAAAACATACAGATAAGAACAGGCAGTATTTCTTTAATACTATGATTCAGATATTGCGTTAAACACTTTCCTTGCACTATCTCATTCAATCTTATAACGACCTTCAAAGGGTGAGGAAACTGACCTTGGAGAGTTTATGATTATCGGACAAGCTGAAGCCTACCCGCTTACGGAGTTAGTTGCCATTCTCAGAAATAAGACAAGTCAGAGACAATCAGGATTAAACCACTGAAGACAGTGCTCTTCTCCTGAGGTCTGTGGTGATTATGAGCCAGACTGCCTAGGTTGAGAGGCCAGCTCTGCAGCGTGTTTTCTGCCTGACCTTGCTTAACCTTTCTTTATTACTACCAGTAGTAGTAGTGGTCCTTTCCCTCAGCAGAGTCAAGCATCCTGCACGCTGCTTCACAACTGAGTCAAGTACATACACTTCAAAACAGCATGTTATACACGATGAATACATAGCTTTATTTGTCAATTTAAAAATAAATTTTTAAAAAACCGAGGCCCCTTCCGGTGCAGTTTCTTACGGTTTTGTCAGCACTGAAGTATTCCTGAGCCCCTGTTACTACTGGTGCCCTTTGGAGCTGACGTTAGCCTTCATTCTGAGATCGGCTAGTTGAAGTAATGGACAAACAACGAAGGGGGCCCCTCTTCGCAGGCTTGTTTCGGACTGTGAGTCCTGCCCCGTCCCACCCCTGTCCCCAGCCCGCGGTGTCCGCACTCACCAGCGCTGGTCGCGGCTCGCAGAGCGGCGGGTGCGCGCCTCCCCGCGGGCCGCGCAGGGCCCCGAGCGCGCGCAGGTGCGCGGCGCAGCTCCTGAGCATGGCTCCGGCGCGCGGGCAGCGGACGGCGTACTCTCTAGGCCCCCGCGCAGCTCCCGGATAGTGCCCCCGGGTTTGGCAGAGCGCGGAGCCTGGCGGGAGGCCGCGCGCGCCAGCACAGGGAGAGCTGGGCCGGGCCTCGGGGCGGGGCCTTGGGGAGGGCGGACGCGGCTCTGAGACTCACTTGTGGCCTCAGCGTTTCCGCCGGGAGTCTTTCCGCTGCCGGTGGGCGCCGGGGCCTCTGCTGGGCCACACAAAAGCCGGGTCAGGGCGGCCGGAGCGGGCCGGTTACTGCACTCGGCTTCTTGGCCCTTGAGCCCACACGCTGAAACCGTCTATATGTAAATAATGTAGAACCACAAGGCATAAACAGGAATCAAAGTCTGAGTTTTATAAAAAGCTTAGGCATACCCAGAAGTTAACCAGCCATCGTTCCCTAACTTCCTTGCAGGTGTCATTGTTTACTGCTTAATGTCACTATCCTCCCCGACGGGCGCAAGATTAGTGACTCCTCCCCACCACTGTGTAGTAGACCCCCCAAATGTAGTAGGTTATGGTGTTAGATTAGAAATATATTGAGATTTGTGGGTTGACACTTAACTAGACAAGAGAATCAAAGACATCACGCGCTGACTTTAAAGTAGATTGCCTCTACTCTGCCTTCGGGGCTGTCCTAAGTTAAAATTTAGCGCCGTCGCTTCATTTGGGAAGAACGTACTCAAGTACTTTGTACTAGTGGCTAAGGATGGAAAACAAAGTGATGAAGCCGAAACTGCTTGTTTCTTATAACTGATTGTTTAAACTTTCCAGCTGCCTTGCCTATGGTTGAAGTTTTACTGTGCTTGCTTAACTGGGAAAGAATGGTCCTTAACCTAACTAATGCTATCTGCTTCTGTAAACCTGCTTGCTTAAAGATTATAATCAGTCGCTCGTAACCGGAGTAGGTGGTCCGAGGCAGGTCCCGGACCCCACGGTCATGGAATGTATGATGTAATTTGTCCCACTTCCCGTCTTTGTCCCTCTTCTCCGCACCTCATATCACGTAGCCCATCTTAGTATAGTATAAGCCCCCCTCGCTTTTTCGGCTAACCACCATTCTCTGTACCCGTACTCTGACAGGGCAGGAGTGGTCACTGGCCAGCTAATAAAGACTCATAATTCGGCTCAATTTGGTCTTTAAGCGGTTATTTCTCGCACTCCGTACCATAAAACACTGTAGATAACATTACTGCTGTAAAGCCCAAGACTTGGGATTCTAGAGATAACACTGCTGTCCTAAATCCCAAGGACTTGTGGTTACATAGTTAACACTGCTGTTGTAAATCTTAAGACTGGTCTTTAAGGTG